CCCTAATACGCCATATATAATTTCACGTGTCAAATGACTAAGGTTCTTTTTTTGTGATACAGCAATTGTGCAATCCACAGTTCTTTACAAATTACACTCTCGTCAGTTGCAACACGACTTGCTGTACATCTTCACACTGTAATGACTTCAAGTTCTTCCCTCCAACAACTGCTGGYCCTTCAGTAATTGTCACAACAGCAACGACAACTGCCAACCAAAGTGATGGTACCACAACGCAAACACTAACGACCAAACAAACTTGCAACGGCACGCAGCAGTCGTTGAATAATATTTCTTTGATGTCATATTTGTTTGTTTTGATCGTGCTATCCCTGAAATTTGTGTAATATATAGATGTCTGCATTTTAAATCAAATATATAATCTTTTTCAGTAAATGGAGGCCCTAAATGGACACAGATGAAATAACATTTCAATTTGTCAATGTAAATTATATTATAAAAGCTAGTTCTGAGAACAAGCACACACTTACTGGTAAGCAATAAAATCAAATCAAACTAAACGACCTTTTTTACTCCACTGCACGGACAGTCTTTCATAKTCCTGACTATCTGTTAGCTATGATTTAAAGAAAAACCTTCAAAACAAAAAATAAGTAATATGCCGCAATCTATTACTGATATGTCTGATACGTGCTAAACAATTTAGAGCTGCAGGATGAAGTAAATGCAGAATTTCACTATCGGTGCATCAACCAAGCGGGTGTGGATTGAGTCATGAAACATTTCAAAATATAAGGATAAAGTTGCACAATATCTAGCGATTAACTCAGTCTGACGATTAGAAAACTTGCACGTTTTAAGTAAAAATGTAACCAATCATCCCAGTAATGTTTCTCCGAATATAAAAAAAACCCTCATGTTCTTTTTACCTACTTCGTCCAGAAAAAGCATTTTATGAGGGCTAGTGTATACAACGTTTTACCAACTGAAGACGATACCAACTGAAAGACGATTGGCTAAGATGTAGTTTTGATGTACTTGCTAATAGTATKTTCTAGGAGAATTYCACCCGGTGTGKGGCTTCCTAATATAAAAGGGCGGGGATCCTCGTCGTCCMTTTTAGGGTTTGAAATCAGTGTTTTGGTCCCGCTTAGGGTGATAATGATTAAAATTCCCACCAACTGAGTTTTTTGGTCCCTTTTAGGGTATAGGACGGCCCTAACGATTTGTATATGACACAACATCGTCATAAACTCAATAAGAGMCGACGGCATTTGATGCTTGTGCAAGAACAAAAATATAATCGAGAAACCAAAACAAAATGACCTGTTATTGTTTTGAATTCCTTGAATTCCCCGCCCTCGGGGATAAAATTAAGACAGAAGATAGCTATAATAGAGAACTAACTTTCTATTAAAGTGGTTTTCATTAGCCCGTGAAACACACTTTAGCGTATTTATCGCTATCAGAAGTACGTGGGCAATGCACTCCGTGATGTCACTTCGATGAAATTTTTTTGGGAAATACGCGATGACATAAACTTGCAAAAAAGCGATAAAAAAGTGGAGGTCACCGGCTTCATTTTAGAGATAATTCTTGCACAAAATCACCAAAATTGTCAAAGAAAAGCGCGAGAAAAGTGTTCGATGCCGTCTGTCAAAAAAATTCCCAAAAAATATAAAACACATATCAATTGATCCAAATTTTTCCACAAAAGCTGAGGTCGATAATTGTTAATATTGTTTACGAGACTTTGAAAGATTACATGATGTGATTTTTGATTCCTTTAGGATTTTTGTCGGTGTCAAGCCGCCACATTCGACGTCAACAAGAGCGGACAAGAAAGGAAAAAATTATGTAGTCGATGGAGGCGAACGAAGTGAAGTTTGCATTTACGAGAATTTTACACCTTTTGCTGAACAACCATTTTTGAATTCGATAGAAAACATACTTTATTATATGAGCAATGTAGCAGTTCAAGAGCAATATGGTCTGCGAAAACAAGGGAAAAGTTCAGACAAAAACGAAGAAAAATGTAAAACAGCGTGCTAAGAAAAGTAGTGTAAAGTAGCTTCCTTACAATCAAATAGGGCTGGGCATAAACAAAGCCAAAGGTAAAGTAATTTTCGACTCTTAACATGAGATGGAAAAGCTGTAAATTTCCAGGTAGGCGGGGTTTGTTTTGAAATTCAAGTTAGTTATTAGTCGGACTAGCCGAAGGCGGGTCCGACTTTAAATTTACCTTTTAGTCTATCTATGTGTCATGTCGCGTTTGGACCACCGGAAGTTAAGAATTTAATA